ATGCAGTTTGATATTGGGATGTTAAGTTGTTTCAACTCATTAATTACCAAGGAGGCAATATTTTCCCCCCGTAGCGTCTCCATTTAACAATGGAAAACGCAAAAGATGAGTTTTCATTTCATTAGAAACATCACAGAAATATGTGACAACGATAGGGTAAAGCTTCCAATCGCTGTCGCTGCTGCTATCGATTGACACCGAAAATGCTGAATTCTGGAGTGCAGCTACCGTTTTACTTTGTGCATCGCAAGCAATTTCGTTCACAATAGATGTTTTCGTGCGAGCACAAGCATATTTCTGAGCAATCTTGGAGTCGGAAACAGAATGCGACAATCCACGCTCGCTGACTAATTCCCTTGCTGCTGAAGCAAACTCGAAAAAAATCTGGCGCCCACAAAGAAAATAGTGGAAGAAACAAGTTCAGCACATTGGATTGGCTGGTTAAGTGGGGAGGGCAGAAGAAACCGAGGGAGGATTCGAAGGTATAAGTCGGATTTAAAACACGATATAATGCAATTTTGCAGCATTAGCGAAAAATTCTAAAATTTCGACAAAAATCACTAAAAACACTTGAAAAAGGAAAAAAATCGTAAAAAATGGATTCCGATCGTAAAGACAAACGCATTTTCGTAAAAGTTGGCAGGTATGGCACACCCACAGAATTTAAACGATAAGTGCTATCTTCACAAAATTTTACATGTGTACTCCTCTAGGCCTAATTAGAATGCCTACCTTTCTTTTTTTTAATCAAAACTCCGACTTTAAATGGTAGCGTGCCAGAAAGGGTTAAAGTAACCAATTTTGACATAAACCCCATACAATTATCAGAGGAGGGAGGAACAGACTCTGCAGTTTTTCAGATTACGGGTGTCGATTTGGCTGGATCTTTTTACCTTCGAGGGCAGAAGGCATGGATAGTGATATTTACATGCGCTGTTTATCAGGCAATACACTTTGAAATTGTTATTACTTTATCCACAGAAGCAATTATGCAAAGCCTGAGAAAATTCATAGCTCGAAGAGGAAGACCAAGTATTATACATTCAGACAATGGTACTAACTTTATAGGAACTAATAACCTTTCCAGAAAATTGGAAGGAAGTGGAGGGAAAAGCCATGATTAAGAAAATTAAATGGAAATTTAATCCTCCAACATCGGCATGGTGGGAAAGACCAATTAGAATTATAAAGGACATGTTGAAGAGTATTTTAGGCAGGACAAACCTAGATTAAAGAATTACTCACTGTGTTATATGAAGTTGAAAATGTCATCAATTCCCGTTCTCTGACATACATATCGGAAGACATTCAAGATTTAATGCCTTTAAAATCCAAATATGTTTTCAAGGGCTGAATAGAACAGAGCTCAATAAGCGTTGGCAGTATCGTCAGAAACTCAGAGAAAATTTAAGAAAAAGATTCAGAGCTGAATACTTAGGACAACTTAAAACTTCTAAGAAAGCCGGTAAAACCAAGGAACAAATAAAATTAGAAGAAATAGTTTTGGTTGGGAATGAAAACGACAAACGGATTGATTGGCAGCTAGGAAGAATAATTAAGCTGTATACAGGGAAGGATAGGCATATTCGTGTTGTTCAAGTAAAAACAAGGACGGTGACATAGTAAGAGTCAAAGCAGACCTGAAATCCCCACCAGATATTTCCAGAAGTGGGCGAAGAATACATAAGCCAAAGAGACTTGTTCTGTGATATTGAGTATAATTCTATCATACTCAAGATGGGGAGATTGTTAAGAAATCACGAGCTGATGACAGAGAGCACTCGAGCAATGAAGATGTTTTTGAAGACACAGGTGCGAAGCACATGGAGAAAAGGCTCAGAGCCACATCCTGTGTCTGACACATGGAGGAATGGCATGACTTTCCTATCATAACATTAGGGAAAGGTGGCTTCTAAAAATAGGTTTCTCTCTGTTGCGATCAGATGAACCTTGCATATCAGGAGGTACTCTGACTAACAGACAGTAAAAACTGCTCTGGTTGGAGAAGGTAGAATTCGAAAAATTGAGAAGATAAGTTCTGGAGATAACTGCGTGAATTTTCTGTGTTCCTATTGGTCCGTCATAGGGGGGATGCTAAATCTTTTCTAATCTTCAAATTCTGCGAAATTAATAAGTAACATAGCTGCTTGAAAGCCTGTTTGTAAATTTTCTGCTGGATTCTTTGCTGCTCTGATTTTACCAATGCATGAAATGATCGAAGTTAGGAAAACGTTAATTTTTTCATCTTGAACCCATTTAATAGCATCGCTTAAGTTCATTTTCATTGTTGTTGTGTTCATTTTCAGCTGTTATAAAGCAGTTATCATACTTGGCTACAGTCCCTGGTAGATGGGATTTTTCTGAGAAACGAGATTTTGGTAGCATTGGGGTTTAAGCAGGATTTCCTAGAAAAAAAAAAAAAAAAAAAAAAAAGAAGAGAGCCCCATCTAGTTATGGAAACTGTGTTGCAGCTGCGCAGGATTTTTTCAAACCTCTCTGAAAATGTCTCGGGTCGCAGGTAGTCAAGCAATCAGACGAAAGTTCTGCTTCTGAAGGATCACGGGTAACTTGCAATATGGAGGTGGCTGTAACAGCACGATCGTGGAAAGAGAAGCCAATTTTATGGAGGAACTTCAAATGAAACCACATTTTAAGAATGTTTATACACTAATTAAAGGTATAATCGATGTTTTAGAGTACACTGTATTTTATGACATTTTAAATTTCAATACTTTCGATTACTTTACAAATTATTCGTCACCAAATTCTCACATTTCTGCTGGGCAATCTGATACCGTGTAGAAATGTTAGCTTTACTATTCAATGCTATTTTACTAAATTTAAGGTGAAAAATTTTTGAAAATCTCTTTAAATATGCACAACTTCACTTTTCTACTAATTATCTTTTAAACTGTTTATTGCTTAATAAGCAACATGTAAACGACAACAAAGATGCATGAAAAAGGAAAGCATTACTTTTGTAATTGATGACAATACCCATTAAATTTGTGTAATACTATTTTTGTTATTAATAAAATACTTTTTAGCTTATAAATACATAAACTGTATTTTTATTGTAAATTCTACACATTGATACATTTCGATTGTGTGTATTAATGCATGATTAAAAACATTTGTATACACATTCTTTAATGTAAATCTACTTCGTTATATTATTAGACATACATGCACAACTACAAACCATCGTATCTTCACACTTATGTAAATGTATGACTTACTAGATGTGTATTTATATGTTTATATGAACATAAAAATTGGCAAAATGTTTATTTGAAGTCACTTCTAATTCATACACTCAATGATCATGTAGTTAACAGCAGTTGAACTGATTAGTTCTTTGCACATTATGCTGCTTATAGAATACACGACTTATGAATAAGAAATTTTTAACAGCTATGCTTAATTTAACAGTATGTATAATATTTGGTCACTTAAACATACAGTGCACAACTCATTATTGCTTTGGCATGTATCATGGTACTTTCTCATTAGCCATTCTTCCTGATTTTAAAAGACAGTAAAATTAACGTTTCTTCTCTTTAACTTTCAGAATCGCCTGTGTCGAGATCAAAGTGATTAACTTAATAGCCACCACCTTCCTATTACCTTAAATAATAACAAATAAGTTTAAAATGTTAAAAAGAAATTACTAAAATGTTTCCATAACAGCGATACAGCATGGAATTTGAAAAGAAATGTCTGTTTCGCTAATCTGAGCAATAATCCATTAGTTTGGCATTCAGGGTCTGTTTAGTAAGTGAAAATGGTAACTTAGTTACGTAGGTTTTTCTGGGAATGCAGGTTCCAAGAAATGTCCCGTTCGACGTTCAGTCTCGCCTCTCCGAAAAAAGAATGTGATACGGACATAAGTTTCATGGATAATATCCAGGAGAAGTTGTTTGCCCAATTCGTTGAGGTGCTGGGCCATCAGATGGATGGAAATGTCATAAGCAGATGCTGCTAGACAACACAGTGTTTTGTAGTGTGATCCATCGACTATGGACTATGACAGAACACAATAATAAATGACTTAAAAACAAACACCACGTGCGAGTGTCATGGCTGTCCAGTCCAGACAAACTAGGATATTACTTGACTGCTGCAAAATATACAATAAGGGATAATGTATTAAGGCAGTACCATTTCCCTACACAATAACATTTCATTTGCAATGAGTTTCTAATTTTTGTATTCTTTTCATTCATCCCCACTATATCGATTATGTATTATATATAATCTTTGAATGAGCATTTAGCATGTAGGTGGTAGATGCATATTTTTTATAATTTTTGCTTTTGTTTTAACATTTTGAATTAGTATGAATAATTAAAAAAATGCCAATACTTTATTCTGTGCTTGTTATTTGAAAAGATCTTCCATACTTTTCACTAAATGTTTTATTTCTTTTAAACTGTGGCTTAATGCAATATATCAATAATTTAGAATAATGATCAGATGCAGTAGAGCAAAAGCACGTGGATGATAGGCTCATCATGCGCTGCTGGCCCTTTACAGCTTCAGAAAAAATATTACACTAAACATGAAAATAAAATATTTTTTCAGTTTTACTAGTAAAAATAAGAAATATTTTTAATGATTCAAACACAACTTACTAATACAATCAAGCTGTTACAATCGAAATAGTTGTATTTGTTATATTTAGAATACATTCACTTAGTTAGGTAATTTTAATATGTAAACACATTATAAATGATGGAAGAGTATCAGAAATGAAAAATCCAACTCATGATAGCATTCAAGTACAATATTTATGACAGAATTTTAACTATGAGTTTAGCAACCCTTTGGAACACAGCATAACCTTTATATCAGGGTATTGTTTGTAGAATTTCTACTTCGCAAACCAAGCCAAATATATAAATTTTTATATGGGTTTCACATTGGACCAATATTAATTATTTCCAGGTTAAAAAAGAGTTGCGATGTATGTTCTCTTATTACGAATAAGACACATATGATTTGTTTTATAGATTTTATTAAAGAAGTAACATGTGAATTTACTTGCTGCTTTTACTTGGAAGAATGATGCCATCATACTGTAAGAAAAAGGAAACACATTAGAAAAATATAAATCAAATGGGAAAATACTTCAACACACAATAATTACAGTTAAATTATTTTATGGTAAATTTTAATATTCAATATTTTATTGGTCTTTACTGAAGGTGAAGGTTAGAGGTTGTTTGAATATGTCACAGCATACTAGGGCTATCTGTCTAAGGAAAAGGATGCCTTAACAGGACTTTCAATAGAAAACTGGATTGTAATTATTTGGACAAACCAAGCCGTGCAACTAGTCCATTTGCCTGGGATCAAATCAGAGCCAAACTCGCAGTAATCAGCGTTCTTTACAGCGGACATCTCATCAGCTTTTATCAAAGAATATGTATTGTTAAAAAGTTCTCTGCAACAGGAGTGCTCGATCCCAATGTAGAGGGAAAGAGCTGTGCATGCGCGAAATGTCTGTCGTCAAAGCTAAAAGCTGGCGTTGAAGATCGTTTGTTCAAGTTCACAAATAGCAAAATTTTGACATTCCTAAAACGGAAGAATTTAAATGATATGTGTGGTATGAATATGCACATAAAATACAGATTTGGAAACAGTCAAACTAGCACAATTTTTGAAGTTTAAAAAACTTATAAATTAGAAGATAATATATTTAGGAACATAAATGTAGAATTCACAAATAACTATAAATGTAAGAGCCAACTGACATTTATAAGCAATTTTTACTTTAATAAAATATACACATTCAATACTATGATTTCAAGTGAATTCTGTCACTCTTATAAAGTACCACAATCAGTAAATTGGTGACAGTGGGTTGCAATAAGTATTTTTATAGCATAGGAAATAACATACACAGAATTGTATAAAAATACACAATACTGCCCATACTATGCAATTGGTCATACACACATAAAATAATTTAATGTTAATCCAAAAAAGTGTCATCAGAAGGGTGCAATACAAATCACAAATTCAAAGATAAATCAAACGTGACAAATATTCTCCAGCATAACAAATTATAAAACGAGAACTTTGGGGGGAACAGTCCTATTATTGTGATACAACTTTATGCAAATACTAAATTACATATATTACTACTTCAATTCACTTATGTATACTTTAATTTTGTAGCTCATTAACCATTCAGAACCGACCAAGAAAAGTGCTCACCCAGGTCCCAATTAACCCTTATTTCATTTCAACTCATTACTGTAATTAAATATGCTGAAATTTAGTTATATTAAAAAATTATTTTAAAGAAAGTTTCATTTTAATGATAAAAGGTATAAAGCACCACAATCAACAAGCTGGTACCAGCAAGTTGCAATAATTATTTTTATAGCCAAATTATACACAGAACTGTAGAATGCATATAAACTGACCTCCAAAAGTTAAGAAGGAACAATATGGTTTTTAAAGTTCACCATTCCAAAATTTCCAGTAACATTTAAATTCACAGTTAAGAAGTATGATAGTTACAAAATTTAAGAAAATATATGCAAAAATTTATTTTATACTTTTTATAGATTATACAGATGTCGGAGAAGAAAAACGTGAAAATTGCAAGTTTTGCCCACAAGTGTACATCTTCAATTGTTATTAGAAATTTCCCCAACAATATCCAGAAGTTGTTTGCCTGCTTCATTGTGGTAGCGGGCAATCAATGGATGAAAATGGTGACATCACAAGCTGATGCTGCTCTACGTCTCTCATAGTCTTGTCCACTGACCTTGAATCCAAGGATTCTGTGTCTAGAAGATATGTTTCAGGCACCCAAAAGTTACACCTGTGGCAGACCATTATTATTTAGATCTTTCGGCCCAAAGTAAGAGCAGTAGTACCGTGCCTTAGCTCATGGAAGATAATTAGCGGCAAAACAAACTAAGCTATTACAGCATGCAGACATCTGCACAACAGAGTTCTATATGCAAGATGACCAGGAAGATGCGTCTTCCTGGTCCGAGGACACGGAGGTACTCATTTATGTTGGGCAAGAGAACATATATCCTGGCTCAGTCAACAATGGACATCTCTTTTCTTCACAGAGAGTGATTAGGTCATCAGCTGATCTGGAGGGAACAATACACTAGATAAGATACACCAATCCACCTGATTTCTCTGTGGTCGCAATGACTTGCACGTGTTTCCATGGAGGAACTGACCAGTGCGAGGTATCGAGCAAGATCTTTAATCAGTATGTTAGCCTATATGCCGCTGCTATTGGTAACGGATTTCTTCTAAAGGATGACAATGTGCGACTGCATCAAGCTAGGGGTGCTGAAAAATATCTTGAGGGTCACCGTATGTAGCATATGGAATGGTCAGCTCAATTGCCACACTTAAATCCCATAGAGCACCTTTGGGACTAACTTTAGAAACAGGTTGCTGCTTTAAATCTTCCTTCAAAGGTCATTAAACGAGCTTGAACAAGGATTACTTCGTGTCCGGTCGTTGCTTTCCATTTCACTGACTGACATCTTAATTGACAGCATGGAGTGTCGCTGTCGCCAATGTACTGCAGCTGGGGGTGGACACACTCCTATAGAAGCCATTTTTGTAATGTTACCACCACATTCTTCCTCAAAAAGCTGTGATGTACTGTTTCTCCAAGAGTGGATTTCTCTGTCAAGAGTGCAAGTCTTTGTTGTAATTCATGTTTGTGTTGAAGTTTAGAAACATTCGATGTCACATTCATTAAAGAACTACTTAGTGGTCATGCCCTCAAAATTTCTTGTTTCTATGTTCCTTCATTCTCAAATTAGACACAAAAAACATGCTGCTCCATAACTTTTAGAGGGCAGTGTATATGCCTATAACTGTTATCTGAAACTGATGTTAATTCAGAATGCTATTTGTCACATAAAGGCACCGTTACACCCACAAGAAAGAATTCCTGTGATATTTCTGTACATGGGATTTAAGAAAAAATGTTATTTCCTAAAACAGATAGTTCTCTAACTAAAATTGTGCTGATCACTATTAACAGAAAAAAATCTCAGTATTGCTGCCTTCTTCCATATAAAGCAAACTGAACTTTTCTGGCATGCTTCAAACCACAAGTTCGTTTAACCCTATGATTTGGCACACAGTTTTGTTAGGAAAGCCCAAATTTCCAAAACAAGAAAATGTGTCCCCTCTATTTTAATTTTAAAATGCTCCCGGTACTTTATATCTGGATTTATAAATTTTTAATATATTGTCTACATTTCATGAACATACGAAAGTATATGCACATATATATATACACTTTCTTGAATAAGCAACAAAATATATTCTAGTTTGTATATGGGTCTTGCTGGCCACAGTAAAAACCCAGAACTAATATAAAAATTCTCTTGCAAGATTTTTTTTTTTTCATACCAACTTATTTACCATAATCATTAAGCATACAATAAACCACATATTTTTTTAAAATTAATGTAACTCTTATTAAGTACCACTATCAGTAAATTGGTGAAAGTGGGTTGCAATGAGTATTTTTCTAGCATAGGAAAAAATATACACAAACTTGCATAATATACATACAAGTCTGCCCATACTATGCAATTAAATCACAACCAAATTAATATTGGCTGCATTCTCAAATATATTAATTACAAATGTCTTTAATTATTTCATTTAAAACTGTACCTCCTAATACTTAATAACACCACCAAAATACTATAGATGCATTTGTTTTTGTATATCAAATACTATAGAAATCAGATACTATATGCATAAATGTATGTATGCATTATCACTGCTGACAACCTTGAAAAATGAAAATCTGAGAGGTTCCCGTGCTGAACAGTGAAGCAATTTTAAACTCCAAATTTACTTCAAAATACATGATTCAAAACATTGAGCTATTTATAATATGATTCTAATATAAACTATTATTATTTAATTAAGAGTGTAAATTTTGAAGCCTCTTGTTTGCCAATCTCGAACGCTAAAAAATCTGGAGAATTTTTCTCAATGACAAAAATATTTATACTATTTTTTAATTTCAAGAGAACTTTGTATCAGCATTGCACCTACATTTTGAGAATTGCCAATTAAATTGCTAATAGGTGCAAGAAATTATTTTTCTCGTCCATATTTTTAACAGTGGAGGTAGTAACTACATCTCTATTTACTTTAAGTATTTAATAACATCCAATAGAACTTTTTATCTTATTTATCTAGAAGCATTTCTTTCTTAAAAATGCAAGAAGCGGGTTCCATTGGTCAAGTATACACATTTCTTTAAAGATAGCTAGCATGTACACTGCGCGTAAAAAAAGGGGGGGACAATAGTTCTATATTTCTCGTTTTACTGGGCCGACTGATGAAATTCAGCATGAATTTTTACGTCTTGAAAGCGTAACTTAGGATATGTATTATATTTATATATAGCATTGTTCTAATATAGGTATTTTGACACAAAATCGGACTTTTTCTGAAATGACATGCCAATATTTTTCGAATGAAAAATGGCCAGAGATTAGGAAACATATCAAGAGGAATGTTTTGTGGAAACACGAGACAAATACTTTTTGGTGACATGGTGAGCAGCAGCTTCATCGATACTTTCCCATGGCTTTTTTAATACAGTTACACATAATTAGAAAGAATTCTATGATTTTATTCCTGATGTAATAAATAAGATTACAAGTACCTTTTGCTGGAACCATTTCATGGCTTCTTCTTTTGAAAGCCTGTGTTTGGATCCAACTACTCCTTTCCTCCTCCTACGATATGCTACATTAAATCCAGGACGTCCCAACACTACATAAAAGTCAAGACCATAGATTCCAATGGTTGGATCATATTTAATACCTAAATCTATGTGTTCCTGAATACCAAATCCAAAATTTCCAGTGTCGGAGAAATTTTCTCTTTTTAGTTCATACTCTCGAACCTGTGAAAACATAAGGTTTATAATATTTTATTAAAACTCATATAATAAATTTGAATAAAAAATCAATCTGATTAAACCTTAAGCAAAATGAATACATCTAGTAAATTAAATGTATGATGGAACAGTATTAAAAGTTGAATAGACACAAAATTATAATTTAATGCTTCAAGTATTTTAAGACAAAGCAAAGTCACATTTGCCAATAAAAAGAAACATATTAGCCTTAAGTGTAATTTGCAGTGCCTTTTTAAAGTTAAATATTAGAATACAGACACACACTAGGTTTAAAATTAATCATTACAGTCAAAAGTCGTTAATTCGGAACCATAATCCGGACCTCAAAGCTAAAAACTTTCTGCGCATGTGCCGCGTTGGCACATTCGCACAGGCGTTTTACGCGTGCGCGTTTAATGTATAACGGACAGTGTAAGCTAAAATTATCTAATTATCTATTTCAGTTAATGTTAATGATTGCATTGTTCCTTAATCTTTGAATTGGATCCCGCTTATTATTTTTTGCAGACTGTAAGAGCAATTTTATAAAAGTAAACTTGAACTTTCGATTATGTCAAATAGAATTTCCAATGCTGGAACTTCCAAAGGATCTACAAAACGAAAGTATGTTCGATGTCCAACAAACAAAAAGTGGAATTGCTGCAAAAAAGGGATAAAGACATGAAGAATGTGACAGAGAGGTTAGTGAAAACGAAAAAAAAATTTCGATTGACAAGTTAGTCGGTATTCTCGGCACACAGCAATTAACGGGACTTGAACAGCGGAACTTTGTAACTGAACAAGAAATTATGTCTTTTTATAGAATTAAAGAGAAAGTATTATCACATAAAACGAAGCAACTTACACAACTTACATTGAGAGAAATGTTTCATAAAGTAAACAAATAAATATTAAGCTTTTTTTTTTGTAAATTTTGATACCCTTTAGATCATAATTGTTCTTTATTTCATAAATTAAGGTTTCATATTTTTAATTTTAGAATTTCTGCATGCCATCTTAGATTTAAACTGATGATCTATAATCCGGAATCGCCGAAGTCCCAACGAGTCCGGATTAACGACTTTTAACTGTACTATAATTTACACAGGTAAATTAATATTTAGGTTATTGGGGTTGGTTTGCGATTATGGCAAAGCACTCGAGGGCTATCTGCCTAAAGGATGGGATGGCTTCATGGAGAGCTTTTGTAAGGGAAACTGGCCTGTTATACGAGGGCTATCCAGAAAGTAGATTACGTTTTGGAATAAAAAAATAAACAAAGTATAGGAAACAAATTTTATTATATACAGATGAAAGCCACACTCAAATACTACTTTTCTACATAGTCACCATACAAATTAAGGCATTTATCGCAGCGATGTACGAGCTTGGAAATTCCTTCGTCGAAAAATTCGGCCGCCTGCGCCTTCAACCACTTCGTTACCTCTTCTTGCCTTCCATCTTGCACAAAACTTGTGGTAACCAAGCTTTTCGCTGATGATTTCGTGCAACAAAACTTCGCGAAATTTGTGGAAAACTCAAAGAAAGTTCCGTTATTGTGAAATTTCGATTTTCACGGACTTTAGCATCGACTTTTTCGAGAAGAAGTTCGGCGGTGTCCACTATGCTGGGTCTCCCACTTCGATCTTCGTCGTGAACATTGGTTCGGCCATTTTGAAATCTTATGACCCAACTGACGCACTCCACCTTCAGTCATAATGTTGTCCCCATACACTTCACGAAAGCTGCCGATAGATTTCTATCGGTTTACAGTTTTTTTGCAGTCAGAAACCTTATTACTGAGCGCACCTCGCAGCTCGCGGGATTTTCAATTAACGCAGACATTTCAAAACCGTCACAGTATCTGAACGGAGCACAGCACGAACTCTCACTAGCACGGCTAGATGCAGACTGAGCTGCGCAACGCTCTGACCCCAAGATGGCCGCGCTAGCCCCGCCCCTAGCGGACACAGACGGAAACGTAATCTACTTCCTGGATGGCCCTCGTACATGGGTAAAAGCACAAAAATGCTCATGCAGTCAGCCCAACCCTGGAATTGGACCAATGTACTAGCGTTCAGCGATTTCCACTAGCGGGCTTAGGTTATTGGGCATTTATGTTAATTATTTTTAACATTAACTCAATAACATTTTTATCACCTTATCCTTAACAATTTTGTATAGATTATGCACAGTCAAGCCCAGCTAGTTTCTATTATGAAGGTAATAACTAGCACCCTCAGATCTAAATCTTACACAGACATTTGATTTCACTATTGTGTCTGTGATGTCTTGACCAACATGTAAAGGTGAAGAACCAACCACACATAGAAAATAAAAAATGTAGAATAATTATCTAACACAAATATATATATGCATAAAATGTTAGTGAAAATTTAAAAAAAAAGTGGTAATTCAGTACTCACTATGGAAACAACCCCCCCCCAAAAAAACAATGCCTTTAAAGAAAGCAATATAGCATCACTTAATACCAAAACAGTGGTTGCAATTATTTCCTTTTGTTTCTTTAGAGAATACAAATTATTAACAATGAATCAGGTTAATTTTACTCAATGTCATGATTAAAAATTCTTTCAGACCACAAAATTCAGAAAAATGTTCACAATAGGCCTCTCTCAGGAGCATTTTTTGTGTGTGTTCCCCCGTCTGCTTACTCTTTTAAATCGAAGGTTCTAATTCAAAATCTACCTCAATTTAATGTAACTTTACAACATAATTAAAAAAGAAGTTTCCCAGCGCCGCTACCAAATTCAATATTTCTAGCTTCACAAGCATTCCACTTTATTTTATAGAAATGATAAATGCTATTCCCCAAAGAAGTAAACTCATAACAATGAATGCATAAGGATTAACCTTTTGAAGATGGGATGGCCATTATAGTGGCCATGTCTTTTTCCCCCATTTTCCAGGCTGAAAAGTGGGGTGAAATGTCAAATTTGACGTCCCTAGGGTTTTAACCACTTATCTCTTTCAAAGGTCTTTTTTTTTTTTGAGACATAGATGCACCCCTCTGAGAATCCATTAAACTACATACAAGAATCTTTGTTGCAAATAGGAGGTGATTTCTTAAAGGGGGAAAAGCATTCAGTTCAAGATTCCCAGTCCTTTGGTAGCTTTTACTGCTACCAAAGGCCCGGCCTAAAAAGGTTAAAAAGTTTTTTCAACTTACTTTCAGTCCTTTTTCTAAAATTTCTTCAGCTTTTGGACCTCTGACAGTACAATGAACAGCAATTTTTTCATTTCTTCTGATACCAAAAGATCTAACTGTGTATCTTGCTTTTGAAAATACAGGTTGTTGCCCAGTTAACTGCTCCAATACCTTAAAAAAAAAAAAAAAAAAATATTAATATAAATTTTTGTAGTTATTTTTTGCTTACTGCAATGAATTATTTAGGAATTTTTAGTTGGGAATTATTCTATTTTAAATTTAAGAGGTATACAAATAACATAAAATACAGCATACATTCAACACAACAAGATTTCTTTTGGGAAAAATAATTCAAATATTTTCAAATAAATATATAAAGACAGGGCCAGCCAAAGCAGCTTCTCCTTAAGGTGAAATGACTAAACCACAAAGCACTGCTTTAATCTTATAAGAACTTGATGTATAAGCACATGGCTGAAAGGTATGCACATGGTGATGATAGCTGGATGCAAAATGTTTTATGTTTAATGTTCAGTCTGACAAAGATTTATGAAGTGCATGGATAGAGGCATTCAAAGGTAAAATACATTTGGAAAATTAATTTCATTATAACAAAGAATAAGAAAATTTTCAAGCCACGGATATTTTTTATTGTGATTTCCTCTGGCAAGATACTGAAATTTGACATTTACAAGTGTTTTACAGAACTAATTTTGAAAGGGTGGAAAAAAAACCTCATATGTTACTAAAAAATTTTTTATCACAGCAATCACAACATTAATTTGGATATAGATAATCTAATAGCGCTTAAAGATTTAAATGCACTTTTGAAGAAAAAAGATTATCATAGACTGGCAACAGCATCTATTCAACACAGATGTGATTTTACCAAAACTTAAACATCTCAAACAGATTCATTTAATAATCACTAATTAACCTAATTAACAAATGAATTCTTATAAAACTATAACAGCTAAAAACTGTAAACTTCTATTATATATAAATATTTTTAATGATATTACTATGAGAGAAAATATACCATTATGGAAACAGAAATTTAATAGGTTCCACAGCAGTGTCTTTTATTTAAAAAACTTGAACTGCGTGTAGTATTATTTCTTTTATGTCAGAAAAGACGAATACAAAACTGTCTTATGTTTCAATTTTCATTACGTCTCTGCAGGATACAACAACAGCACAGGGACAGAGCTGCTCAAAGACATGCTGCGGAGGTCTGTCAATCTCGCCTTGAGAAGACAAGGGGACCTTAAGGACAAATGAACTAACATGCATGGTCTGCAGCAGGGTAACACACTCCTCCATCACAAAAGAACTTGGTGACAGTGTATGCAAGTATGTGTGAAATACGATAAAGACGAAACTTAGCCAAAAATTGTACAGATAACCACCAAACAGTTAATGTAACTTTCCATATATTCATGGAAGTATATCCTATCATATAAGTATTTCAACAATTCACGAACAAAATGTTCCTGTTGCAGGAGAGGTCCAGATGACTTTTAGCAATATGAACAGCAGTAATTTGCATATACCTGCATCCCCTGTTGCACTGCTCTAAAACTGGTGGCCCTCGAAAGAATTTATGCACCATTTCAGTTATGCCATTTGTTTTGATACAGTGCTCTTGGATTTCAATATAGCATAAATTCACTGTGAACTGGATTGCTATAGTGTTTATTATGAAAATAGAAAAGCACAAACATTACAGCAGTCATCACATTCCTATTGAGTTTGAATACAGCTCTGGCATTCCATCGTCTTGATCACCCAGCCACTGGTAAGGTTCTGTATCAGGGATTGGCAAACGTTTTTAAAAAAACCCAGATTGTGAAAATCTTAGGCCCAGGAAGGAGTGGAAGGAGCAAACATAAAAATGTATTTCTATCCCTATGATTTCAATGAGCATATTTATCCTCTGAGAAAGCTATTTACAAGGTTCATATACATTTCTGCACATGGAAATTAAGGTTTTTTAAGAACCATTAATGAAAAAAGTTAAGGACCTATCAACAAATGGAAACTGAATAAATTCAATTAAGGATATTAGCTATGCCTGAACTTCATTTTTGTGATACTAAACTAACAATAAAATAGATCCACAAGTAGAAGGCATTATTATTGAATATAATTACAAAACAAATTTGAGAATAAAATTGACTTAAAATTTATCAGGTAGCATTAAATATTTTACCCTTATAACAACAGGACATATTTGAAAGAAGATTAGTGATGCGTTATTTACATTTTTTTAATTTGATCTTTTTTTTATGTCTTATTTTGTCACGTACTTGCTCTGTTTAGAGTTTTGGTAAATAGTAGTTAGATTTTATCCCAATGGCACGTCATAGGTTAAAATGAGAAATAAAATTATAATCAGCATGATTCGTTACAGAAGACTGGCCATTGCCACTGCTGCTGCTTGACTAGAGAGAGGCCTGCTGATCAGAACAAACTTGAAAGCCTGATGTAGGGACGGTTGACAAGTTTTAAGTCAATTGTGCTCTGCCTGTCTGATGCAGTTAGTGTCTTAACTTCGAGTAGAATTCCTGGGGTTGCAACTCAGTTAATATATTTTAAGATTCCAATAAGCTACTCAGGAACCAGAGGTGATAAGTTCTCTTTGAATTAAGTCTCACTAGATGCAAAGAATTAAGTTTTATATTTTTGTGCTGTATCTTGTAACCACAGAAAGGATTAATAAAAATCAATAATATGCAGAGATAACTTTTAAGGGTGACCTGTTAATTACAAATAATTAAATTAGCTAGTTAGGTACCCTTTATCTCCTAACCTGTAAATCTCTCGAATATATACCTACGAGGTTTTACTTGATCTGATAAAAGTTAAATAGTCCAAAACCCCTGACAGACATAAAGCAAAGTATCACCAGGTCTGAAAGTAAATACAAAGTCTGACTAAGGTTTAAATAAACCTTTTATTTAAAAAGACCTTAGGAACATAAAGGTATGTTCTCATGCTAGCAAAATGAACTACAGCTTGTGGTGATCCAATTAAACATGAATAGTAAATTCAAACTAAAAATGTGGAATAGTAGTTAAAGACTACACAATTTAATTTTAATCTAAAGCTGGCCCAATAACACATCGTAACAAGCTTGTAACTCTTCGTAACATAGATATTGTGTAATAAATTCCAATATCGGCAAAGATAATGGAAAGACGAATAATTACAAATTACCAGAACTTCTAGGACCGAGGGACAGCATTCTGTATCCCATTTCATGGATGCTGTGCTTGTGGAAAGATGTTCCCTTTTGTGCCAACCTAGGTACACCAGTGATGATGCATTAAAACATATAAGGAGAATCTTTTAAATTGTCAGTTTTCAATTTCTATATTAATAGAAAAATTCCTTTCTATAAATGCCTGTCTATGTGATAAGTTAAGAAGCATTTTTAATACCTTTGCATGCTTGTGTCTGTGGAGAAAATAAAGGAAAGATAAACATGTTAAGGGAAAAAAAAACATTCCAATGTGTTTTCATTGTTCTTCCGAAAATTCTCCAAAAAGTAAAAGTTCATCAAAAATTTTCTGTAAAATACATTCATTACGTATTAATACCATAATACATTTTTCTGGAATTTTCTAGATTTGTGGGTCTATAAATATTGCTTTCAAATCCTTCTACCTTACTAAGTTGCAGTTCAAAAATCCAAAAGAAAAATTACCTCTATCAGTTCTTTAAGAGCAAAAAGCCAGAAATATGTTGGGAAAAAAATCAGAAGAAAAAAGTGTTAAATTAATTTTTCAGAAAAAACTGATGCGTATTGAGACAATTACATGGGAAGAACTCTTACCATGAAAAATTATAATTAATTACATAGCTATTTTAATTTTGATAAGAATTGTTTCATAAATTGCGCTAAAGCGTAATTTAAGCATTTATTACCTCATTTATTTTTTAGATTCAAAATGTTGTATAAGTCGCCAAAATGGAAAGTAATGTCACTTTATATGATAGCGAAAAATAAAAATGTTTTATTTTTAATATTATTTCTTGAATACAATTTAATATACTACCATTATTGTAATGAAAATAATCAATGTTATGTTTTAAAAAATGTCAAAAAATTCTTAGATTTCAGAATTAAATTTTTTTTACAGAAACTGATCTTAAAATTGCCAAAATGTTGATCAGTCCCCAAATTTGGAACCGTTTAATAAAGAAAGAATTCACATTCTCAAAAGCGAAAAGTAGTTCAAGATCTCTTCATTAGAAAAAATGAAATAATTTCGAAATGCTTATGTTTCACTTTTGCTCAGAAACTTCACTATCCCACCATTTATATTAAAAATAGAAGCAAATTATAATTCAGCAACCTATTCACCCATTCAATAGATAACTAGATTTGTCAATGAACTGCCAAAAATATTTGGTCAAAATACTAATTCACACCCAAAATGGCAGTCATAAAAAAGACAAAAATTTCAAATAATTTTTAAAATTAAGGACCAAAAATCAATTCTAAAAAATCTAAGGACTTTTAAGGACTCTTGAGGACCATATGAACCTTGTTTAACCGTAAAACTGCTGAGTTATATCTTTTTTTTAATAATTATTCTCAACATATCATTTTACAAATTGGTCACTTCCAGTTGAAGGTCTGATGGAAGCTCCTCAATATCACAGTGAAACAGATTTTGAAACATTAAACATCTTTTGCATTTGCATAGAGATCCACAAAATACTGTTGCATCAGTTCAGAAAATATATCCTACACAAATTTTTTTTCGGAATGGGGATTTCTCCAATATTTATTTTACAGCACAAAAAAAAAAAAAAAAAAAAAAAAGTCAAATTTGCTTAATGTTATCTGTGCTTAAAACAATGCAAATTTTGGGCAATTTGCCTTTATGATGGAATACATTTCACATACGAATACTGTTTTCTCCGGTAATTTTTAAATGAAATCATTAAGTTATGGCTCAGCATTTGTGGCAACTGCTAATTTCCTTAGCCATTCGCTGTTTGGCAGGCACTTTTCTCATTTAAAAAAAAAAAAAAAAACCCTACTAATCTCAGTTTGAAGATTCTCAATAAAACTTTCCTATTGTTCAGCCATCAAACAGCTGTAAGATATGCAAGATATGACCAGAATATTCAGCTTTGAAATCTAATAAAAATTCACA